AAACTGCGGACGCCAGCTTCTGTGATTCTCCATACCATTTATCTGTCAGCATTGACACATCTAAGTTTATAAAACGCATACCAGCCTCCTTAGCTGTAGCTTTGGCAATTAAAGTCTTACCGCATCCAGGAGGACCATGTAAGAGAACGCCTTTAGGTGCTTGCCATAATTTTGAATGACTAAAGAGATCGCGACGACGGACTGGTAATACAACTGATTCCCGCAGTTCTTGAATAACATTCTCCAAGCCAGCAATATCTTCCCAGCTAACTGGAATATCGCTTGGCACTACAATGTGCGACGCTATCATAAGCTCATAATCATTAAATTGTTGTGGATTAATTTTCAAGCAACCATGATCGTTTAACCTACAAAGCAATAAAGTTACTCCCGCGTGCATTTGCATCGATAGATTGCGTAAGCTTACCGCTTCAATTGTTCTTCAGCACGAAGTTTTGCTTTTTTTTTATTTTTACTAGTTGGATCGATGTGCTCCATCATCCATTTTACTGAATAAAATGTGATTACAGAAGCGATAGATACTCGAAGTAGCATTTGAAAAAGTTCACCTCGTGTTATTTGTGATCCGCCGAAATTAAAATTATCCATTTTTGTAGTAAATAGAAAATTTCAAAAAAAAAATATATAAAACCAAATGCAAATCAAAACCCTTAATGAAATTTTTTATTTTTGTGCAAACAGAACGCTTAGGTGCTTAGGGTTTACACCCTTTTTTTTTCTTTACAAGCCTTTTTCAATTTACGACAATTCAATGCTTTATAAAAACCTCTACATAAACATACGTTTTACTGATTAATATATGCACATAAATATATATTTATATTTAAAAGTTGACATGAGGAATTTACTCAACATTACAGCATTGAACAAAAATTACGTAAGGTTGGCAATCAATACGAATGCTATGAATAAATAACAAAACGGAGTGTGTCGGCTTAGGTCATTATCAATTCTTTAGCTCTTGTCTGTTCCTTTTCTTTTATGCTTGGCTTAAAAGTTTCCATTTAATGCATGTGATCCAAACTATGATCGAAAGCACAGATGCTTCAATAGATTTTATTACTGCTTTTAAAATCTATAAATCCGCTAATGCCCAGATTTAGTACATGCCGCCATACGCTATAATTCAGAGAAGGAGACATAAGACTTCCTTCCTTACAGTTCATTATGATGACCAGAGTCGAACTAATGTAAAACATATCAAGAACAGCATATCTGTGATGAATTTTATTGATTTTTTGTACAATCTAGGTCAACCTATCATGCAACAATTAACAGCTACTAAAAATGTGACCATATCTACACAGCATTTATATAAAAAAGATTATATATTATATTTCAAGCACTTGTATGAATATATGGAAAGAATTATCATTTTATTTTTGAAAATAGGGTAAAATCGAATGCCACGCCTATAAAAATTGTATAAAACTATTGAGCAGACGTACAAGGGGAGATGAATGCATATTTTTTATACATTTATATAAAAAAGATTATATATTATATTTCAAGCACTTGTATGAATATATGGAAAGAATTAACATCAAATTTTTCAATTTTTCAAAATATTAAACAATAGATTAATATGAGATTTTCATTTTTCCCAAATAATTCCGTGTTTATATGTTACTAAGATAATATCCTTATATACTACGAGCTTTTGGTTTTTCCATTCCTTTGCCGCTACACGAATATTCTATATAATCTTCGGTTTGGGCCAACAGTAGCGATTTAGCGATTTAGGTGGTGCTTGCAAATGTTCTTCAATGTTCTTCACCGCCATACTTTTCCACAATATGTTCCTTCGTCTGAAAAAAAATAAAATATATTATTGCACGGTTGTAATTGAGATCTCTAAACACTTTACGATTTTTATATCTTTAAACAATTTGATGCAAGGTTATAAATTCAGCGGCTAAAACATTCTACATGTCGGGACGACAGATCAATGTCCCAATTGTATTCCGCGGACCCAACGGGGCTGCTATGGGCGTGGCAGCTCAACATTCTCAATATTTTGCGGTTTTGTATTCCCTTTTTTCTTTCATCAGCAGCTCCTAGAGGAATTGCAGTGTTCTTTAAGTCATCTTCTTATTTGATTTCCACAATTGAAACTATGAACCATTCCCGAGGTTAGGAACAACGCGAACTCGGTTTTTTGGATTTGTTTCAGAACCGGGTGACAAGCGTTTCGCCAGCATCATTGGTATCACGGAAAGTACGTAGAATATTAAAACAAAGAAGGGATAAAAAATCTTCGGTTGTGGCACAGCACAAGCCAATATTAAAAAGGTCATAATAATAACAAATAATAACAAACACTAAATTCACGTCTTTTCGTAATAAAACATCATCAATTTTGTTGGTAAAAAAAGCGATATTTTCGGATGATGAAAACTCTTCCGCTTCTTTTACGGTTCGACCCCAAAGAGCTTTAATTTCAAAACCTTTTTCACGTAAAATTGGCACCAATACTTTGGAAACATTCATTACAGGAAGAAAGATATCTACAATATCTACAATAAATACACGTCGTCTTGGTATTTAAAATTGCTGTTAAAAAGTTGGTAATTCAAGAATAGTTTCCTTGCGATGCGTTCACCATCTTTTTATCACTACAGTTGAAATCACTACTTTTCAACAGTGATCGAAACTGAATGTTTGGTGATTACCGTAAAAGCAATACTTTTTCCTGCCGCTGGGTTTTGTCAATAATGACAGGAAAAGTAGTTCTTAAAATGCCGGAGTCTTGCAGGTAAAGTTTTAGAATTAAGTACGGCTATATATTAAATTTAAATAATGCATCACATTATCTGTATCTATTAAAAACCTATAGAACCTTACTTTTTAACTAAACAAAGGGTAGCCTCATGTGAATTTTTTTTTTCTGTTGTGGTTAATCATTTAGGGGATGGCCCTCATTCGTGTAACGTGGTGACTGTCACAAAGAAGTGAGGAGAGAGAAATAAATAGGAAGATGCTGTTCGTAGCCTAGTGGATGTGTATCCAATCGATAAGTTATCGATATCGGCTGGTCAGTGGTCTGAGTCATTTAGATTATGTATATGCAATTTTGATGACCGTAGAATAATGGTCTTCTTTCATAAAAAGTGGGTAGGAATTTGTCTTCTTTTATGGCTTTAATGCACATGTGTCTAAAAGCGTAATAGCGAATAAAGCATTTAGAACAAAACAACCAGATTTCACTGATGCTTAAAAGTTGCAGAATTAGGCGCAAAATAAAATATAAAAATAAATTGTATTAACAAAACATTGATATGTACGCTTCATCGTTGCCCGAATTTCTGAAAATCTATCTCGTTTTCATAAAACATTCATTAGGTTCTCCTGGTGGGCTATGCAATAACACCATGCTATAAATACTCTACTAAAACTGCATTTTGAACTGCGTGCTCTTTTACATTTAATTGTTAAATCTCAGTTAAAATTTTCGAACGCTGTTCGACGCTGCGAGCAATAACACGTTCTTTACGCATAAGAGTAAGAAAACAAGTTTCAAGATCTCCGGTTATATGGGATAATTTGCCAACGATTATGACCAGAAGGGCCATGGGTCCCTATTCTAGAGGTGTAATGACCAATCAAAATCGTGAATTTCATGCCAAGACAATAGGTATCCGTCGCCGCATCGTCCTCCCCATGGTCATCGTTGTATAAAACGTGTCATCACTGGGATAATTATTTAAAAGTTGTTTGATTAAATCGTTATGTATAATCATGATAAACGCGAACTTGACACGAACTTGAATTTAATGAATTAAATGTTTTCCTTTTTATAAATTTAGATTCAAGTGTTATACGAATACAAGCTAGGGTTAAATTTTAATCAAATTTAAAAATAAGGTGTAATTAAATGTTACAGTTCCCGTAATCTCATTCCTGATAATCTTTTGATAAATAGTGACCATAATTTTCAATAACTTGGCTTAGGGCCTAAAAATGAATATTTTAATTTGGAATAGATTTGATCGACGTTCTCTTCCGTAGTTTCAGGTCAATCAATTTTTTTAAATATAAGTTTATCCACTAACATGTCGCGTGATTTATAAACATTATCTTTGAGTTTATAATTATCTTCGTTTAGCTCTTCATCTCGTTCAGCAAACCTTGTTAATTTATCATTATCAGCAGTGGCAGCAGACAGACTTTCTGCTAAAGATTTTTTTTTTTTGATAAATTTTAGTAGATGCTGGTACAATTATACTATTTGGCAATTCATATTCAATAATGCCATCTGATTCCAAAGATATAACAGTAAATGCTTCGGGCTTCTCGTTTTGCGAACTCAGTCAAGCAAAAGCTTGACGTTATTAGACAACCAGCATTCTTAACAAATTGGCGAATGTGGTTAAGCCCGGCTAGGAGAGGCTGCAGCCCTTATTCCTGCGCACCATGAAGTATTGGAATCCTTTAGCACCACATGCCCCGCGATCCTTAAGGGAGTTAGTTTCCTTAATAAAAGACTCTGCATAAAGATTAATTGCTATTTTTTATGGGGGCAATTTTTTTATACATTGAATGGAAACTCATCGTTATTATAAGAGATTAAAAAAAAAAAATTTTACAAAAGTATATATAAGAACTTTTTTGTTTTTTAATTTTAAATTAAATAAAATAGAATATCTTCATTTTATAATTTTTCGACAGGAAGAGAGTGCAAATGCATGGTATACAAGAAATTAATTCAAGGATCTTTAAAGAACATTACAATTTTATTCAGTATCATTTAAATTGTTGTGATCTCCACATAGATTCATCACTTCATTCATTGCTACAATTATGATTGGTTTATACGTAATTAAGATTCTCCTCTTTTTAGACGAAAATGGTGAAGCCTAGTTTGTGCCTCTATTTATTATTATTAACTGCATTTAGATATAATTTACGCTGTAAATAAAAAATACATATCATTATTAGATGTTATTAAAGAAAAGCTAACACTACGTCCACACCATGTATTTCATGTAATTTGCATTTTACGTAGGTTTTGCTTGCATTTGGACTTACATTAATTCAACACTGTAGTCGTTTCTAAGATCTACCTGCGTACTAAATAGTTTAAGTAATCCCGAAGGGAGGGGGCATGACTAACTTAACATGGAATCTTACACAATACATTTTATATATGCAGGCGTTTTTCGATGCCACTCGGAATGGTGGAGTTTCGTACAATAGCTTTTCAGTATTTTACTTATTATACGCACCGCTTGTGACACAAGCACACACACACACACACAACACACTCACAATAAATTTGTGCTGATGTATGCAACAAGCGCTTGACTTCTCTTTTATTATACTGATGGATTCAGAGTCATTTTACGAATCGGTTTAAGCTTGTCTGTCCGTTTGGTATTCTTGTGTTCAACCGAGACGTGATGATGAAATATGATACACCGACATGTTTTCGCCCAAGGGTGAAAGCTATTGAAAACGGGTCCGATCGGATCAATGGAAAGCTTTTGTATATATAATGGTTTGAAGCAAAGTAGCGTAAGCAGATTTAATAGTGGGCCAGTAAATTCTATTGCTTTTTTTACAAGGTTATCGGAATTTACGTTATTTTTATAATTTTGATCAAATTGCGGTAATCGTTTCCAAAATTTTCCAAAAGTGAAATTCCTCTCACTAAAAAATCGCAGTTCCTAAATAATCGATATCAAAAAAATGCTTGCGAGACAAATATGTTGACTATTAATGCATTCGAATCAGGCTTGAAAATTTAAAAAATTTGCCATGCTATTCTTAAAATTCGGAATGGTAAACGAAGTTGCTATCAAAAAATACATTCCACTCACACTTTTAGACCTTATTTACCTGCTGCTATTCCTGCCATGGCTTCCGAGGCAAAATGTTTTACATCGACGTCTACATCGCTATTAAGTTTTTCCAAAGTGGGTTTAACTTGAGTATCAATAACACTGCTTTCAAGATAAGGTGACATTTTTTGCAAACTTTTCGCTACGTTGAAACGAACATTGGCAACTGGATCGGAAGCCAGCAACAAGACCGTAGGCAAAAGTAGCTTAGTGGTTATATCGGTGCCACACACTTCAGCCAGCATATTTAAGCAGAACAGACAAGTCATTCCTGCGATGAAAGTGTGAAATAATGTTTAGTATGTATATATGTTATTGGGCTGAAAATTATATCCTTTCAGATCAATATTTATATAAATGTAAGCTTACTGTGTAAATAATTCTTGTTGCGAGACATAACCAAAATCATTGGGATAATGGCCTGTTCAGCCCACTGGGAACCAAACTGTTCAACAAGTTTTTTCATATTTAATGTTGCAGCCTCACGTATAGCATAAACATGGTCGTTAAGCCAACCCATGCAAAGGCCGCGCAATTTTTGATCGAAAAATTCTTGCCCAAGTTGTCCAGCCAAAGCAGGCATGTATTCGATTATTGCTAAACGCACTCTCCATTTAGAATCCTCAGCAAGCTCCACAATAGCTGGTAGAAGAGACTGAAATAATTAGATAAGACATAACGCATTCGTGTAAATGCTAAGGCTTTTCTTTTTTTAAATATAAGTAAGTATACTTGTGACAACTGCTGAATACCGATAACGTCATTAACGCAATCTAGGTTCGAAATGATGTTTAAGCGAACTTCGGGACACTCGTCTTTAAGTTGAATCAAAAACAGAGGCAATAAGTGTTCGACTGTGTTGTAAGCGCCCAACATTGGACTCAAGCCCATGATGACGGACGCTAAGGCCGATTTGACGTGAGGATTAGGGTCGGAAACCAAATCACGGACGTACGGCAAAATTGATGTCATTATAATTTGCACTTGATTGCCTTTATCAAGATTAGCGCAGAAATCTTTTACTTTAGTGGCTACAGCTGCTCGTACCTCAGCCTCGGCATCTTTCAGTAAATACTATTAAAACGTCAAAAAAATAATAATTAGTTTAATTTTGAAGAAAAATGTAGAAATTATTTCCTCTATACTTGAAAGGCAGGAACCAAGTCGACTCGGGTTATCTCGGGTCCTACAGCTTTCTGAAGATCCACAAATTTTTCGGCGACCATGTAGCGCACCCGCCAGGATGAATCACTGGCACATTGACGTAAAGTCGGCAAAACCAACTGCAATGAAGATTTTGTTTAATAATTAAGTAAATTTTATTTTAATAAGGAGAAGTTTACTTACGTGTTCTACGTCTTCCTGGGGCAGCAATTGAGCAATACTGACACAAGCTTCAACAGCTAAAAGTCGAACAGAGTCCTAAAACCATCTGTAAATTAATTTTCTAATGATATTCGTATTTTAAAATGTTTACCTGATCATCTTGTGCTAATTGAACAAAATTAGGTATTAAATCAGATTTCAGATATTCGATTTCTACTACTTTGGCGAATTCGCCGAGTTTACTAGCTGCGGCACGACGCACCATTGGAGTCTCATCTTGACATAATTTACGAAAATTTGCACGAAGCTCTGCTTTTACTGGTTGCGAGACTCTTGGATAACACACGGAAAAGAGTCCACATGCCGAAGTTCGTGAAGTGAACCAATCACCCGATACGAGACGTTGCAAAGTTGGCACCACATGAATTTCAAGATCCTGGGCGCTATGCTCAGCTGCGACTGTACGCAATGACTCTACTGCTTTATCACGCACCACTGTCTCCTCAACGGTTGCTAAGCTCTCCAATGGTGGAATCAAATACATGGCATAATCGGGTCCACCTACCAAACCTAAAAGCAACGATCATTTACAATGAACAACGGTAAATTCACAAAATTGCTTAAGATATTTACTTGTAAAATTCCCCAACTGATCGGCTAAGGCAAGCAGCACCTCGTCTTCGTCATAGATCGTTTCAGTCAAAAATGGAATTAATTCCGATCGGGTACGTTCTTCCCCTAAGGCTAAAGCAATAGTCGATAGCTTCTTAATCGAATTCAAGCGTAGCTAGCAAAAAACCAAAAAAAAATAATTTTGCAATTTACGAAAACTATAATAAAGCATTTTAGTTATGCATTTATTTTTACAATTGAAGGGAGTCTGTTAAATAATTTTTTTTCGATATTTGTATAAACGCCCACAGCAACGAAATTATTCGCCTTAATTAAATGAAAAATAATTGAATTCATTCGATTTTTTTTTTTTAATTTTATTGAAAAAAATATGGAGACATCTGACTGAATATTTAATTAAAAACAAATGGTTACCATTGCCTAAAAATGATATTAATTTCTAAACATGATTTTTAAAACTTAGGAATGCGCAACAAATTGTTTAAATAGATGTAACTACCTCAGAGAACGTAAGAAAATCATGACCCGTCCTCTCGAAAAATAAATATATACGTCCCTTAAATAATATAGTGACGTATGTACGGTTTAAGAAGCATTATAACATGACCTTGATTAGCGTCTATCAATTTCCGAAATGGGAAGAAATCCGATATCGTTTTTCACCTTTGCTGCGTTACGATATCTATGTTTGAACTAGAGTTTTTAACCAAATTTTGTTTACTTAGGAGCATTGAGAAAAACTAGATCTATATGCACGGTTAAATTAGAGTGGTTAGCTTTCGAAATTACATAGTTTTTCGACTAAAACACTGACGTCATATTGCATGGGAAAGTGCTAGAAACTACGGACTGAACGGCTTGTCACTTCTGTCGCGATATTAGTACTAGTACTATCAATTGAATACTTTACCAAGAATTTTTTTCCAATTTTTCAGCTCTATATGAGCAAAAAATTATATAGGTATCTCATTATTTTATCTGTTTTCAACAGTCGAATTTTCATTGCAATATTCAGTTTTCTCGAACAACAGCGCATCCTCCCAGTTTTATCGAAGCAATGTTATTCAGTTTCTCAACTCCTATGGATTGATCAATTCATATCAGCTCAGTTATATTCAACAATTTTACCCAGTTCTTTACATACTTGCTTTCACATCCGATTAGCTTATTTTATATAGAAGATTTTGTGGTATTTTTTGTATTTATGGCAATGATTTGTTATGCTTTTGCGTACGTTTTAATGGTTCATTCAGTTTTTTAATTCTATCGCAAATCAGTTTTTTAACTCGGTTTTACAGCTCTATCGGAAGACCCATCTTTATGTCCAAATAATCGAGGATTTTACCTCTATTTTTTACAATTTTTCACTTGTACAATAGTTTATAGGAAACGACTGGTCATTCCAGATTTTTATTCGATTTTTAGATCTGTCGTAATGATTCTATTCAATTTTTCAGTTTGATTATGGGATTTGTATAATTATCAAAACTTTACCCCAACTTCTTAATTCTATTGCAATAACTTACAAAAATTCATATATAGACCGACGTTCCCAATTTCTCATTTTTATGTCAATTTCATGCAGTTTTTTCAAATAATGCATCAGATGAAAGATACTAGATCATTTTCCTCCGCACTGATATGTGTAGTTACACCCAATTGCATGAGTGCTTGGTTTGCCTAAAAAGGCTACTTATATATGATTTAAAGAACCATCAATTGTACCGCAAAATCAATATTTGCCAAAGGCTGTAAATGAATTCCGAGGATCTACAAAGTGCGCATTTATCGAATTTCCGCTTTCCATTTTTGGGAAAATGACTTATCCAACTCTGAAAAGGCGTAGCCACAATGGCATATCAGAGTCAAAAACTTGCATTAAACACGAGTTTTACAAACGAAAGAAAGATATGACAAAATTTCGCGGTTGTGAGACAAAAAATAAGACTATTTGGAGAATAATATGTTCATTGTAGTGAATTAATGTTGTTTCCAAGTTGTGACTAACTTAATGCAACCGTTATGATCCACACTAGCAACAATCTGGTCGTCCTCACAAGCATACGATAAAACGTATTTTGAAACCAAAACAGCCAAAGGCTCCTATATGGAATAGCAATTTCCAAATGATTTCCCACTTAAAATTGTCTCAAATTTCGCAAAAAAAATTTTCTTCCATTTAATTCTATTTTCTACCGTTATTGGACAGGACATATACACCGCCTGTAGCTCAAAGTCTTCCGCACTACTATTATTACAAAAACAACTGCTTGTACGCCATTTTACTTACACCTAACGGTGCTATACGGAAAACATCAAAATATGTGCAATAAAAAGCGAACTTGCAAAATTTAAAAATCCTTAAGACACCTTGTTTGGATATAGTGAATTTTAAAAGTAGAGACGTTATACTTCACAAATAATAGAGCTGTATGCCATTAGGCACAATTTTGTTGGGTCATTCACATGGTCTCCCCGATATAAAAAGTTTCTTTAGAGTATAATGAATTATGAAGAAAGGATACTTCTCCTCTTGTGCACTTGTACATTTAACGTTGCAGACATTCATTTCCGTGAATTACTAACCTGTACATCTTCATTTTTCAGTTCATCAATAAGAACAGCTATCGGGTAGAGTGAGTCGTCGACGGATTTATCATTCGACGCCATGTTTAGAATTTCGCTAACAAATTAACGTTGATGAAAATGGACTTAATAACTTAATTATTATACTTTCCAAAATATTCGACTTGATTTGCAAAAGTTACTCAAAAAAAATTTCAATTGTACAAATTATAGAACTCTTTTACAACACGAAATTCTGAACAATTATAATTTTGCACTGCGTTCGTTTTTCTAACACAGTTGACACCATCGAAATTAGCAACAATAATTTATTAATAAACCGAAATGTAATAGAAACGGTGTAAATGAAACACGTATGTGAAATTTGTATGCATAAAAAGGGATAAGGTATGAAACTCTCATCTTCAGTGAATTTGAAAAAGAAAAGGATACAAAAAATAAAAAAAAAGGGATTTTTCTCAAAAGCGACAAATTATGGAAGTTATCCGATTGCCTGAAATGATGGTTAAAAATTATAGAAACACGACGTAGTTACGTTGAAAATAAAAATGCGGAAATTGTCTAAAATTTTTCTCAATAAATTTAATATACCAAAAATCTTAAGACCATATCCTTGCTTATTAAATTTAAAAACGGACTGCGATCAACTAGTCTAACGTGCTTTAAATTATTGACAAAACACACTTGATTTCAAGAATAACCCTGCCGAGAAGACGGGCATTATACTTCGACTAATAAAAGATGCGAACTTCTCTTTTCACACTGTTCAATTGAAAATTGTTCCATCGACCGAATTTATGATTTGAAAAAAAAAACTCCTGTAGGAGTCAAGAAGTAAAGCGTTTTCTTTACTAATTGACCCATTTTATTCTCAGAAGATTCAAGCAAACATGATTAAATTAAAGCTAATCTTATTGGACTTATCGCGGAAACGGAAGACTTCTAAAACCAAACAATTTGAAATAATTAGAGACGTTTGTAGATTCTTTGTAAAAAATTCTAATGTTCAGAATTATTATTCCATAATAAAATGTTTATTGATCCATAGCGGCAACAATAACGTCGGGATCGCTAGGTGGAGTTCGTGGCGGCTCATCATCAGGTCCTGGTGGACGTATATCGTCATCGGAACGAGACGGAACGATAGCTGCTCCTCGCTGTTTAGCCATATTAACATAAAATAAATTTTCGTTATCATCCAATATTTTAAACGGCTGATCTCTACCAACGATCGCTATAGAGATGTTCTAAAGTGAAAATAGAAAGCGAAAAATCTTTAAGTTTGACAAAATTCAGTCTGTTTCATTAATTTTCACTTACAAGCAGAGAAGACTTGTCCTCTTTACCTAATTCTTCGTTAGGCAGTGATCCTCTTATTGCTTGAACACCATGACAAATTAGCTCGTCCTTCGAACAATCATTAAAACTTGCTAAATGCCTTTCCAGATATGTCCGAGAGCTTTGAGATCGGGAACCAATTGACATAGCTTTGCAATTAAAAAAGTTTGCAGAAGGTACCACCTGATAGATGCGAGGACCTTTCTCGTCATCATAACCAGCCACAAGCAAACCGACCCCATAAGGGCGGCGATCATATCTTTGCGTTGTAATTTGCATTTTATTTCCGAGATTTGTTATAAGCTTGCCCACTGGATGTGGGACACCATAAGAATATTTATAGTTTAAGCATTCGGTGCGTAGATGGCGACTTAAAACCCGAGCATCGGCGGTTATGCCGGCAATTGAAATTCCAATATGGTCATCAATGGGAATAATTTTTCTTTGCGAGGACGATAATTCAGATGCAGCCCTACGCAAAACAATCTCATTTAATATAATGTTTTGAAAATTTAACTTAAAAAAATGGAAACTTTTGATACGTTAAGACCGCTTGGGCGGTAATTCAGTCATTATCATGTGTAGTAAAGTCTGAGTGAAAATGTTTTCTTTGCTTATTTTTTACCTTAAAATTGCAACTAGTACCGCATAATCTTTGCTTTTTAAACCGACAGTAGCTGAACCCAGCTTAACTGCTTCCATAGCGTATTCGACTTGATGCAGCCGCCCTTGCGGACTCCAAACAGTAACATCGCTGTCATACTGATTACGAAACTAATAAAAGCTTTTTTTTAATATTAATGAAAAACGAAAAAAAAGCAAAGAGATCTCACCATTTTCCAAATTCAATTTATTTCCAGAGTGACAAACAATTTTTCGTTTAGCACATTACTTAGAGATGAAAATATGTCATTAATAATTTTCGATAGCGATATAAATATCGAAAATAATTATAGTTCAAAGTCTACATCTGCAAATAGTTTATTAAAGTAGATGAATATTTTTTTTCTTTTGTAAAAACCATTGTACGAATCACACCTCTATTAGAAAACTGGTGGATTGTTCTTAAAAACTCTCTTAAAAATTAAAAAGCAAAGGATTATTTTTTATTGTTAGCTTATATAGAATTTTTAACTGTTATACGGATTGTGTATCTTGTATGTGTCATTTACTTTCGGCGGTGTCATTTACTTGTGTATAGTGGTGCTATGTGCTGATTTAACTGATTTTCAAACTAAGTGAGAAAATCTCAATGTTACGAACATTTTTTTGGTCAGGAGAAAAAAATTGTGGAATTTGTTTTGATTATGGGCCAAAAATCTGTCATAATCTCGATAAATATGAATGAATGACGAAATTGATTTAGCTAAGTTTCTTTTCATACTAAAATTACGAAATGAAAAATTCGTAACCATCTTGATAAGTTCGTTTGTATAATTTCTAAGCGGAATTTCAAAAGTTAATCCAATTGACCCAAAATTTGGTCAGATCAGGAAATTACTAAAAAAACGATTAATTCATTAGACATAATACAAAATTCTTCTTTAGTTTGTCATTTGAATATAATTGAATAAGATTTCAATTTCTTATATTAAGGGACAGTTAAAAATGATAGCGAATATGAATTAATTTTCATTTATTACATTTGTATTAATATATAATATTATATAGAAGTAATTATTTAATTTCAACATTATATAATTGTTAATTTTTATGATACTCTGTTGAATACTTAAATTTTTTCAAAAAAAAACACAACAAAACTGGCTTGAAACCAAATATGGTTTTATAACTCGATAATGTGGTATTTTTTATACCATTTAGGCTAAACATTTTAATATCTATCAACCCGCATATGTTTCTTTTTAACTGTTACCCAATTGCCATATTTATGCTTAATTCCGAAAGAATAATGGGGATATAATTATTTAGTCTCAAAATGAACATCAATGAAATATTCACAGTCGCAACGAAAAGTTATAAGATTTTGCAACCCTGTTTAGGGACGCTGGTAAGTCGGTAAGTTGAGTAAAATTCACATCACGGAATACCAAGGAAGAAATTGCGAAAATATTTATGAATTTCGATTTGCGATTCGATACAGATTGTTGTTTTAATAAAAGTATAACGTCAACGTGAGAAATTTGTCTGAATTGGTTTTTTGAAATAGTAAGAAAGTTTACAACGTAAAAGTGCGCTATTTTTCGACGTGTATTCGTTTCGGTGTCGACATTCCGTTCGGTTATTCGCAGTTTTTAACTTTCTTGAGTTGTGTGACGAAAAGAATACATAAATTCAGGTCGCAGGTAAGTTTCAAGTGTCGGCAGTAGCATAATTAAGAGCATTAATCGCATTTGACAGAATGTTGTTCATTCGAGATATTGGGGGAATAAGCATATTTATGTTAATTAATTGGGCACATACGCATATGTATATGTTAAGCCTAAATAAAATAGCCGTTTACTACCCCTTCTCTATAATGTCAGTTTAGTGAAAATATGTATCTTAAAAACATCTTGACTGCCGGCATAGCGGAGATCACTTTCTTACAGATTTATAAAACATATTTCTTTTATATCTTTTAGAAATAACTTTCTGTGAAAAGATCGTTTAAGTGAAACTAAAACGCAATTAAAATAACATCCACGTGCAGCTGAGGGATTTTTACTATTAGGACATAATTAGTGCCGACAACATAACACGTCGTCTTGAACGCTGCTTTTATTATAAGGCAATCGCTATGCTTTCCTCGGAAGAAGCCAGTAAATTACTGGATTTCTCTCAAAAGTTAGACATTAGTCTACTTGATCGCATAGTAGAATGTTTGTATACTTCGCAAGGGGATCAACTCCGCTTGGCTCAAGATATACTAACTACGCTGAAAGAACATCCAGATGCCTGGACTCGGGTGGATAGTATTTTAGAATTTTCTCAAAATCAACAAACAAAATTCTACGCATTACAAATTCTGGAGGAAGTAATAAAAACTCGTTGGAAAATATTGCCGCGTAATCAATGCGAAGGGATTAAAAAGTACGTTGTTGGACTTATCATAAAGACTTCTTCAGATGCAGCCACAATGGAAGCGAATAAAGTTTATTTGAATAAGCTAAACATAATACTGGTACAAATATTGAAGCGAGAATGGCCGCGCAATTGGGAAACGTTCATTAGTGATATTGTAGGTGCTTCGAAAACTAATGAAAGTTTATGCAAGAACAATATGGTTATATTAAAGAATCTCAGCGAAGAGGTTTTTGACTTCTCGTCTGGTCAAATCACGCAGACAAAAGCGAAACATTTAAAGGATACAATGTGCTCAGAATTCTCGCAGGTATTCCAACTATGTTCGTTTGTGCTTGAAAGTAGTATGAACGCTCCGCTTATTCAAGTCACTTTGGAGACATTATTACGTTTCCTGAATTGGATTCCACTGGGTTACATTTTCGAGACTTCGCTGATTGACACTTTGATATTTAAATTTCTGAGTGTTCCGATGTTTCGTAATGTAACCCTTAAGTGCCTGTCGGAGATTGCCGGTCTCACGGTACCCGATTATAATGAAAATTTCATTAATCTCTTTAAAGAGACAATGACCCAATTAAATTTGATGATCAGCACGACCACCAATATGAATCATATTTATGCAAATGGCAATGATACGGAACAAATATTTGTCCAAAATCTCGCTATGTTCTTATGCACGTTTTTAAAAGAGCATGGCAAACTCGTTGAGGATGTAAAATATATTGATTTTCTTAATCAAGCACTGCTTTATTTAGTTATGATTTCGGAAGTTGAAGATGTTGAAGTATTTAAGATTTGCCTCGAGTATTGGAATAGTTTGGTCGAAGATCTTTATAGCAGCGAGTCATTTGGTGGCAACGCGAGCGTACATCTCGGTCAGTCGGACGCCGTCTCGTTAGCCAAACGTAATGCAGCATTTCCGCGGCGCCGATTCTACTCAAGCATCCTATCTAAAGTACGATATATTATGATATCGCGAATGGCTAAACCAGAAGAAGTGCTCGTGGTTGAAAATGAAAATGGAGAAGTGGTGCGAGAATTCATGAAAGATACGAATGCCATTAATTTATATAAAAATATGCGTGAGACTCTCGTATTTTTGACACATTTAGACTATGCGGATACTGAACGTATAATGACTTTGAAACTTCTCAATCAAGTAAATGGAAGCGAGTTTTCTTGGAAAAACCTTAACACACTGTGTTGGGCAATAGGCTCCATATCAGGTATGTAAACTTCAATGCATTTATAATAATTAACGAATAAAAATGAAAGCTATAATTAACTACTTGAATATGTTCCAAATATGTCCCTTCCTTTCCTAATGCTGTTATACGGACTACTTCAAATTTCAGAGACAGTTTGTGCTATTCGCACTGCACAATTTTGGAACAATACTAGCACAGTTTTGAATAAGTTTTCTCAATAATAAACGAAAAGCTTATTCAATGTCTTTGAGATAGAGCCGATTATGTTTACGAAAATTATCAATGCATTTTGAATGCTATAAAAATTTCAAAAGACAACAAAGTCCGTGACACGTAGTGGAGGCTGGTAAGAACAAGAAATTTTACGCTGATTGTCAAGCTGTCATCTAAATTCAAGCAAAACATATAAAGAATGTGCTATATATCGTCTACCGAGATAAATACTAATTACATTTCCGTGGATAAGAAATATTAGTAAACTGCCCAAGACTATCTGAAAAGACTTCATATGAAGCAAACCAAAAAGGTAAATCGAATTTTCGATTATGTATGTTTTATTAACAGAAATAACGACATCAAATTGTTATGTGATTGATAAGATTACATAAGACAAAGCAAAAATCCTTAGTGAATACATCGTGGAGGATGAACGTAAGACAACTTTTCGAAACATTCATTACTTTAAATATTCATTAATATGTTGGAGGAAACCAGTTGCATTTCCAACAACTATTCCGAACAATATGTATTTCTTTAAATATTTACAAACGCATACGAAAACTAATAAGAAAATAATAGGTTTCCAGCTGAGAAAGGTGTATATTTCAATATTCTGATCTTTTTCTTCCTTATGTCATTTTTTTTTCTTTAAGCTCATTACAATTGTTTAATAGATGCTCCGAGAAAGTACAAAAAGGATTTAAATGGTTTCTAATAATGTTTAATGAATTGATTATTCTATTATGCAAATTGTTGTATGGTGTTTGGGGCAAGTAGAAAGAAGTGGAGTCGCATAAAAACCTATTATCTAGCTTGCAATTATTTTTGTTGGACTTTTTTGTGTTAGCCTCGTAAAACGAAAAAGGATGGGTTATGCTGGCCCGTCACTCGTCACTTTGACCGGCTGTATACCGTTTGATGAAATCAATTGTCCTTTGTCTTGTAGCATGCAGTTGTCAGCAAGTTTTCGCAATGCAATCGGCTAAGAAGCCTGACCACGCATCTTCAGTTCGCTTGCGATCATGAATCCATTTCATATTACGTTTCCCGGATATACGGACAATTGGAATTTAGAAAGCTGAACCTATCTAAAATATCTTGTAATTGCTTGCAATTCTGAAAAATTTGAAAATATCCGTTAGCTTATAAACTATAACAGAGATAGCTCTTTGAAACGAGTAGAAATACTTGTATTTCACTTTGGACAAATGTTGATTAATCGCGATCGTAAAATTGATAGAAATGTTAGGATGTGAAAGTGCCTGAATATTTACACGGGGCTTTTTGCGAGCAATATCGGTAGGCATTTGCAGGCAGATAATTGGACTTGTAATCGTGACTCAAGAAACTTCCCAACTTTTATTCTTTCTATTCTATATAATGGACCAACAAGTGAGTGAAAGCCGAAAGCACAGAACAAATCAATTCAAGCTTCAGTTATAAACACTAGAAGTACTCATATATATATATATATATATATATATATATATTGTTGAAGTCAGTTTAATGGATTTATATCTGTTTTTAGAGACGAGTATCCTTGTGCGGGGCAAACCTTTTTTTTGTAAAAAAAACTAATAACTTATTGGCGAAAAGCAAATATTTTTAATTTTTTTTTTTTTTTTTTTTAGATGTAAAAAGCGAGCTCTCGAGCGCGGTACTTTCAGGATTCGCATTGTCACTGTCTATTAGAAATGCAGTCTTCTCTTCATATAACGTTCGAGTTTTCAAAAGTCTTTCGCATGAAATATTCGTAAATTTGCTGATAAACAAATGACTCTTACGTGCTAATTGACTGAAGAAAATTGTTATGCTATTTTAGAGGCGTACTCTTCAAGTGATTACTTTCGAAAACGTAATTCGCTTCACGAGACATTTCGGATAAGCTTCTCAGAAGAAGTTATATAGGTCCGAATGGAACCAATTTTTTTTTGGATTGGTGAAAAAGGGATTGAAGCTACTGTAGTACCTTTTCTTAACAGTTTCTGGAGTCGTCCCCGTTTATTTGAGAAAAAAAAATTCAGAATGTATTTATGATAGAAATGTTGTTAGGTGCTATCTCTTTCTAGCATTACATCAAAGTGCATTTGGCATAAATACTGATCTATACTTTCCTTAGAAAGCATTGATGTATTAACGAATGACTATTTGCGTTACCGTAAGAGCGAGTAACATAAAGGTATACACTTTTTTTTTTTTTCATTTTCCACATATTTGATTTTTTTGTCCCTTGCCAGCCTGAAAGGCCACATGCGTTGCGGCCGGAGTTGGTTTATTGTGATTTTGTTTATGAGATATGATTAAGTTTGCTTGATCCCAAGTTAGTTCATGCTAAGTCTCAGTCAAGTTGGTCTGTTTTTAAGTACACGCTTACATTAGGCAATTTTCTGCAAATCTTCGAATCTTAAGGAATAAGCAGTCAGGTGGAAAATTTGTAAAAATATGGTATTGCAAATGGTATCCGCTCATGTATAACCAAAAAAAATATTTGTGATGCACGGAAAAATGAAATGCTTCTGATTAATTTGCGATTTTTCTCTAAGAGCTCTTTGATCGTTCTCTGAATGCGATTGTGAAGGGTAAATGCAACGAACGAATATTTGAATATAATTTAAGCCGATAAGTAAAAGTTTACGTTCCAATAGCCTACAATCCTCATATCGAGCTTAAGACTTGTTGTAGTCTAAAGTGAAGTCTAAAAATATGAAGTTTTGCTCAATAATTTTACTTTTAATATTTATTCATGGTAAAAAAAAAAAGTTAATAAATGATTTCTAATTGAACTTTTAGGTGCTTTTTGCGAAGAGGACGAAAAACGTTTTCTGGTCACTGTTATTAAAGACTTGTTAGGATTATGCGAACAAAAGAAGGGCAAGGATAATAAGGCAATTATTGCATCAAATATTATGTATGTCGTTGGACAATATCCGAGGTTCCTTCGTGCTCATTGGAAATTTCTAAAAACGGTTGTTAACAAACTTTTTGAATTTATGCACGAAACACATGATGGCGTTCAGGATATGGCCTGCGATACGTTTATTAAAATCGCCATCAAATGCAGACGATACTTTATTACAATGCAACCAAACGAGGTGTGCACATTTATTGATGAAATTCTCAGCACCATGAGTACTATCATTTGCGATTTGCAGCCGCAACAGGTAAATTATTAGAAAAAAAAAAAAATAAATAAATAAAAATAAAAATAAAAAAAATAAAAGTACACTTTAAATATTATAAATATTTATAATCATGGGATGCTTTTTTTGTTAGGTGCATACTTTTTACGAGGCTGTTGGCTATATGATATCTGCACAAATGGATCAAGTACAGCAAGATGTGTTAATTGAAAAGTATATGTTTTTGCCGAATCAAGTATGGGATGAAATCATATCTCGCGCATCAAAAAACGTTGATTTTCTTAAGAATATGACTGCCGTTAAGCAATTGGGAAGTATTCTCAAAACAAATGTGGCCGCGTGTAAGGCTTTAGGTCACGCCTATGTTATTCAATTGGGTCGGATTTATTTGGATATGTTAAATGTTTATAAAATAACATCGGAAAATATTATTCAGGCTATAGAATTAAATGGAGTCAACGTTAACAATCAACCATTAATTAAAGCAATGCATGTAGTTAAAAAAGAAACATTGAATCTCATCTCAGAATGGGTGTCACGATCAAACGATAATCAACTCGTAATGGATAATTTTATACCACCACTTCTGGATGCGATCCTTCTCGATTACCAGGTAAGAGGATTGATTCAATTTTACAATTTCAAAGTCAAGAAAAAAGAGAAAAATCCTTTTATATAATATCGTAATATATGGCTTTACTAATTTTTTATTATTCTATTTGAAATACTTAGAAATGAGTGTCTATCATGAATGAGACAATGTGTTTGTATGTTTGATATATATTTGTCCGTCTGTCGGCCATCTGGAAGTTTAAAAGCTGCGAAAATCGAATAAACTCGTTAGCTGCTATGTCTGATGTATGGAGATTAAATACAAAGATCAAAACAGTCCATCATCGTCAAGATCACAACAATCAAAAGTCTGAAACTACCTCGGCAAACTAAGTCGTCTGAAGTTTTTCGTGTTTTAAATTAAAAATGCGATAAAAGACATTGCAATGACTGATAATAAAAAAAGGAAAAAAAAAAAAAAAAATTTAAAAATTAAATTATTAAAAAAAAAAATTTTTTTTTTTTTTTTTTTTTAAGGAAACTAATGAATAATTGTAGATAGATATAAGACATCACTCTTTTTAGATGTTGCAAAAGCTTTTTAGGCTTAATATTTTTTATGCTGCTTACGAGCTGCATGCATTCAATTGAGTTAATATGCTTACAAGGGTCATTGTCCATTCGTGCATCTGGCCACTATTAATTTATACTCTTTTTTTAGTAACTTTAGATATATTCATAATTAATAAACGTTTTTATTTTTTTATTTTTCAAAAAAGAAATGACTTAACGACTGATTCGTAATTCTATCACATTGCGATATCAAACTGGATTTATAAAACTTGACTATTGAAATTCTTCAGTAATTGAGTTAATTACAATTAGCAAATCTAATCTGAAACAACTTCTATGTGGTTATGCAATGTTAGCATAGATGTCTGTGCGTAAATTCAATTCTTAGTTTTTAAAAGGACAGCCTTATATTTAACAAAGGTTACTGGATGTGTACGCAGTTCTGAAATGATTTTTAAATTAAGATTTGCATCTGTTGTATCTGTTAGATACGGTGTGAGTGCAGCTTTTACTTTGTTTCAAATCTTAGATGTCGCGTCTATTAAAGACAAATTTTGAAAGTAGAAAAAACATCTTCAGTGCATCCTGAGCACATTTTTAAAGGACAAATAAGAAAATTACGTTCACTTTGCGACGACTATTTGACACCCATCATCTCTTACGTACACACATCTTCTAAATGTGGACGCGTCAATTCCTATTTTCACATTTTGCTCTTAACTAAAACCTAGATTTCGTCCGAGAAACCAGATAGTGAATGCTAAGGCTTTTACAAAAAAAAAAAAAAATCAAATTATTTGAAATATTTTTTTTTTGATTTTTCCCCCAACTCGAATGTGAAAGCCAAGCTGTCATTTGATGCGACTGTGAATGTCGAAATGAAACAGTGTTCGAGAAAATTTTAAAATTATTATTGAACAATTCTTATTATTTATGTCACTTATTGAATTGTTAGCTTACAAAACTATTATGCGAAAGTACTTTTAAATTTATAAATTGTTTTTTTTTTTTTTTTTTTTTTGATTGCAGCGCTGTAAAGTACCATCGGCAAGAGAGCCGAAAGTTCTCAATGCGATGGCAACTATTGTTCATAAGCTACGTAATCATATTACGAATGAAGTACCAAAAGTTTTCGATGCCGTTTTCGAATGCACTTTAGATATGATTAATAAAAACTTTGAGGATTATCCCCAGCATCGCATAAGCTTCTACGAATTGCTGCAGGCTGTTAATGCACATTGCTTTAAAGCTTTCCTTAATATACCACCAGCGCAATTTAAATTGGTCTTCGATTCCGTGGTCTGGGCTTTTAAGCATACCATGCGTAATGTTGCTGACATAGGTCTTAACATATTATTTAAAGTAAGTCAATAATTAATTAAAGTCGACTATTCATTTATATAATAAATAATCTTGACTTATTTATTGCCATTATTAGATGTTACAAAACTTGACACAACATCCTCAAGCTGCACAGAGTTTTTATCAAACGTACTTTACCGATATATTAATGCAAATATTTTCTGTCGTTACTGATACTTCGCATACAGCGGGATTAGGAAATCATGCCATTATATTAGCGTACATGTTTTCATTGGTTGAAAATAATAAAATCACCGTTAACCTTGGACCCATACCCGATAATACAATTTTCATTCAGGAGTACGTGGCCTCATTACTCAAATCGGCATTCAGTCATTTAACGGATAATCAGATTAAAGTCTTCGTTACCGGCCTTTTCAATTTAGATGAGAATGTACAAGCATTTAAGGAGCATTTAAGAGATTTTCTGATTCAAATTAGAGTAAGCTAACAACGTTTTTTACTCAAATATGATATGAAAAATGATTTTGAAATAATATTTAATAAACAATATAGGAAGTGACTGGTGAGGACGACTCTGACCTATATTTGGAGGAACGAGAAGCAGCACTACGAGAAGAGCAAGCCAACAAACTTCTTACACAACGTAATATACCAGGAATGCTGAATCCGCATGAATTGCCCGAGGACATGCAGGATGAATAAGAAGCATATTTATTAAATTGCGTGGATCAAATATAAGCAGTAATATTTTTGAATAATATTTGACACTTAAATAATTCTAAAATTTGTTTTTTTTTTAAATGTTTTTCAATTTTTTTTTTTTTTTTTTTTTTTTTTTAATTATTATTTTTATTTTCTAAGTATGAATGTATAAGTATGAATGAATCTACATTATGAAACGCTGTCAAATATATAATAATTAGTTCATTCTCTCCGCACCTTTCATCAATATCTTTAACCACTCCAGCCTGCTATGTTTGATTGCATAAAACTACAATTAGTTTGTACATTTACATTACGTTAAATAAAAACAAAATAATAAGAATAATTAAAAACAGAAAATAAAATAAATAATAAAGAAGTCGAAACTAAACAAAATTATTAAATATTATAATTGATGGAAAAAGGTTCCGGATTTGGTAAAAGTAAGACGCTACCTTTTACGCACTTTTACGTCAATATAAATAAGTTTTTATAAGTTTTTAACAAGGCATAAAGAAAATACTCGGTTGTCATTTATATCGTAAAAGTGACACTTCCCTAACTCGATACATTGCACTGCGGATATATTATGATTAGCATTGGCTTAGTGGAAAAAAAATTTCTCTCTCGTATTGCAAACAATTTACGATCCATGGGCGGGAAAAAGGCTAAAGGTTTTTCTTAAAATTTTTTTATCTAACCTTGGCTTTTCAAGACTTCATCATTGAAAGCTTTCTCTCTCTCACCTCCCAACTATCTTAATAGTGATTTGGTACAATCTACAGGGCGGCGTTTCTACGCTTCAAAGCATGGCAAGCTCCTGCCGAGTGATATGAAAAACTTATATGTATATGTAAAGAAATTAAAGAACATGAAGCGACTTTACTATGAAGATTGTTCCACCTTTCCGCTGAGATTATCACGACTCGTTGTATTTTCTTACCAAACCTTTTCAAATGTTTTACTGTTAAAGTACACTTGCTTAATATAATCTTCTTCTGTTTTCGAAAACTTCCGAATCATTATAAAAAAAATATATAGTGATGGACGTGATGGTTTTGCAATTTGATCGTGACATTTTCATGATATTAATTGATCTAAGTGAGTATAGCATGTGATGCCACGAATCATTCTTTAATATTCAAAGTTTTTTCTTATCTTTCGCGTTAACGAAAACCTCAAAATAGTTATGACAATATATATTGAAATCGAAATCTTATTAAAATCTAATTTCACATATGTGATTGATTTCTTCCAAATATCAAGCAAGACCTTGAAATAATCGATTTGCCCAATTAATTTGCGGGACAAATAAGTTTGTAATAATTCCCGCTTTCATACCATAGTCAAATTAAAAGTCATATTTTCAATTATATAAACAATAAATTCTGATGAATTCTTAGGTTTATTTTTAAAATCAATTAAAAAGATGGGATCTTGCCCACCACTTTGTTGTTTTGTATGGCCTGCACGATCTCACACCTTTTGGCTTCATCCGCAATCGAGCAGTACCTGCCAGAAGTTATCAGCAGCGTCCACAGCGTTATATATCGAATAATGGAAACTCAAATACTGAAATTGCATCAAAATATCATTAGTTTTCGAATTATGGGTATACTATACCTCATTTGTATACTTATTATCAAAATAATGTAAAATAGCAAACGAATGAATCCACATTAATAAAATCTGCCATCGTAATTAAAAATATAAATAAACAAATAAAATTATAATTATAAAATGTAAATAAATAAAATTATTGCATTATTTCATTTTTGCTAAATAATGGAGATGATGAATAAACAAATTGTCTGTGACAAGAATATACTCACAGAGAGAGAGAGAGAGAGAGAGAGAGAGAGAGAGAACTTCTTAGATTCTGAGAGGACCTACGTAAGTAGAGATAGGGTATACCAGTCATAGACGAATTTTTCGAAGCGACCGTAAACATGATGACAAACGACACTGACAGTGAGGTCGAGGAGGAAATAGAGCCGGCCGATAGGACTGGTATGCCCAGTAAGCATAGATGATGCCTTATGTAGGAAGCCCCTCCATTACATCATACGATTCAATATTTAGTAATATAGTTGATTATGATGGACCGTCAACCGTACAATCAAAACAACGAACTAAACATGGCTTCAAAATCAGCTTTAGTCGAAGCAGAGTACAATGAAAAATATAAGGCACCGTAGGGTATAACTTAAAATAATAATTCATCTGATAATTCATCTCGTGGTTTCTTTTCAACATTTCTTGGAAAATCGCCGTCAAAGCACCAATAACAATCTTCGACTCTTCTATCGCCTAAACATTATATTTATATATTTACATAAATATTTATATGTTTACATAAATTTACGCAACATTTTCTGTTTGCAATTTGCTTTTGTATCTCGAGATCAAAACCTTATTAAAGCTTATTAAGCATTCTTCAACATTCTTAAACATTTCCCTGTCAAATAAACAACGTTCATATATAGTGTTATGGAGTTTTATGATGAAAATAGATCTAACATAATGATTTCATATATAAACGCTCTTTTTATTTGGAATATTTTTAATTTTTCTCAATTTTTTACTTTAAATTTTTGAATTTATTTTCTTTCATTTTTTTTCGCAATTATTCAATTCCTACAACTGCTTTGTGCACTAAATTAATTTTATAACGGAGAAAGAGACATTAAGCAAATAAGCGCGGTTTTCCACCCTTGACGTATCGTGATGGGCGCGTTGCCAATTGTTTTGAATGGCTGGCTCCCCTGTAGTCCTCCACCATTACAAACTTATTGTAAAACTCATATAATATTTACTATAATAATAATAATAAATAAATATAAGCCCCGTTTATGCGTAACATACATACATAATACAAAAAAATATATAAAAAATATATCGATTTCGCTCAAAATAAGGTCAGCGGACGTGTGCGCGAAGCGCATAGCGTTTCTGATTACATCAAGTAATAAAAGGGTAAACTTTGTTTATCTATCCGTCCATGTATGGAGAACGGAGATAGAGTTGCTTTCAATAAATTGCAGCGCTTCGATTCCCTTAAAGCAATAACAATTTAGACCACACTTCTATTAAATGAGAAATTGAGGATGCAGTCCTGTTAAAGTGATAGAAATACAGGACGCACATTTGTTAAATCAGAATTCGAGTACGATTCAGTTTTTCATTTGCATTAGCAGCGGGTTTCTATTGGATATTAAGTTGGATTGCTTTAAATCGAGCCTCACCAAATCTAAGTGCGCAAAATTAATCAGGTATCCTAAAATGCAATAAAACACTTCAAAAATCTTATTGTCTCGTCAAAAAATTTATTACTCTTTGTTATTTATTTTGGGCGCATATCGCAAAAGCAAATGGAATAATAAATGTGTTAGTAAAGTAATAAAGTCTATAAATTCAATATTTCTGCAGCACTGGTGAGAGAAGCCACATCGCTTTCGAATTGCCCAGTAATAATAATCTTCCTTGTTGCCTTGTTGGTGGCGTCAGCTACACTCGGATTCTCTTTCGCATCATGCGCTGCAGTATCGGCAGAAGTCGATTCTTTAGGCTCTACTTCTGCCTTATCGCTGTTTTTACCAAAATAACGAATTCTTTGGCCATCATCAATTATTCGTATTAAATATTCAAAAGAATTTCGCGCATAAATCCAAAATGTTTCTTCGTCAATTTGTTTTCCGACAGCTGCATATTGCTTATATGTTCTTGAAATGATTTTGTTTCTTAACCCTTCATTTCTTATGTACTTAGTTGCACATACGCTCGCAACTAAGGCAATAGAGGCTTGAGACATTTCCAAATATTCCCCACCACTTTGGCAACTCTGAATAACACTGATCAAAACCGAGGCTTTGTCTTGCTTTGTTTCCACTGCAATTTTTTCAATCTCGTCCGTTGCAAATACAGCTCCTGCCAACGGTGTTAACATTATTTTGCCTTTTTTCAACAAAAGTGGCACTAACTTGGATAATACAGTCAATGCTAATAAGCTAGCCTGCTCCGTCGTTAATAATAACTGACGGTCTTCGAATCTAGGATGTTTTGTACAAAAATCCAAGGCTACCAAAACTTTTGCTTCTTTAGTAAAGGAAAATCTGTGGACTAGAGTTCTACCATATTTCTTAGCAGTTTTAATTGAAGGCACCATTCTATACGTAGTGTAAGCGTGCCTGTGATCTTGATTCTTCCGTCAAAACTGCATTAAAATCGGGGCATGCTTTAGCAAATTCCTTCTTCAGAGCATCAAAATCGAATTGGTTTTGTGCTTTGTTCGAAGATAAATTAATTGCAGAAACCATTTTCAGGGCAGCCAAAAATTCAGATTTCATAATGTTTTCGGTCGCCATTGTTATACTATACAAAATAATTTCTGGCTCACAATTAAAATGATTGCTTACAATATGCAGAGTTCAGAAGTTTCTGGAAAATTTTCTTGAATTGCATCATATTTAAACTGGCTCCCCGTTGTCACACGAACCAAATATTCAGTGCGTTGCCACACAGACAAACTTTCGTTATCTAATTAACTAAATATATTACGTATCTTAAACTATTTGACTGCTAGTTGTTTCATTACCATTTTGTTATTCCGAGAAATTTCAACGCAGCAAAGATATGGTAACTTGTCGAATAAGTAGGCTTTTTATATTTTATTTGCTTTAATACACGCACAAAATGCCTGCAATTAAATTATTTGTTACGATATTATTATTTGCTGGTAAATTAAGTTGTAATAGTTTACTACATAAAAAACTGAAGTGTATTTTGAATTCATTCCAAATAATGTTAATTCCTATTGTGAATCGAAATATTGTTGCGCTGACTAAATAAAAAGCTTTACTTGATCTCACTCATCTTCGGGTTTGTTTAATTATTTAAAAGTTTGTTTGATCATCATTGAGAAGAGCTATGGTGGCTAGTATTCCTTTGTCCGAATCCAGCTATTCGCCAACGTTTTGGAAAAAAAATTTCCTTAAAATATTCTTAAGAAATAAATTAAAAAAAACTATATTCACCTTGAGGTGAATATGGTAAGTATATGATCTTATGCCATTAAACTCTTTACATTTAATTATAGCCTGTCAACAGAGGAAGGTTGAATCTTACTTCTATTAGATCATTTCTAATGAGATCCGCAAGGAGGAGTATCTGTTTGTTGCCATCAGCGAGTTTTCAATCAATAGAAACAAGAGAGATGTTGTATAGTTTATGTTTGAACTTAAATTGAATACGATAATAGATGAAAATTGAAAGCAGAAAAAGTAACGATACCTACAATTATAGTGATCGTAGAAGAGATAGAGGATAGCGAAAAAACGGAATTCACTTTCGGATCGGCATAAGTTCCATTGGAATAGGCCCGGTATTAAGCACCATTCTAATGCTAACGTTTAAACGCGAAGCTTTGTAGGGAGTTTTGCGAATTGTAACTTGTTGGTTCTTTGCATCGCTTTTTGTTTATTTGATTTTAGATAAATGAAATCGTTTACAAACCATAGTAGAATTTCAAGGGAAAAAGGAAATTGCATGATGTTCTATGCGACCGACATTGTATTCAGTTGATGGGTTTAAGTAGATATTTAGTATAAGCATTGAGTGAAAATTGATTTCGATATGAGCAACAACGCGTAACTTGTTCAAGATATGAAGAAGGAGTTCACGTGAGTTGAAGTGATATCTAGGGCTATCTTTTTCAAACTTAATTACGATTTTATCGACGTTCTATTACTTGAATGATGTTATTGGAGTGTCATTAATAATATATTATATTATATAATAAGTTCGCGGCCTTTCTGAGGCTATGTTATTATTTTACAACAGAGTGTTTTCAAAAATTTTTTTTTGGATACTTCTAATTATACTAGTTAACTAATATATATATATGTATAACTGTTGGCTGCCTTTTCATGCATTCGGTGCTTGCCCACGATTTTTATACTCGCCACGTAGTACATGCATTTTGTCATTCAACGACCCCACAATGTATATATATTCTTGACCAGCACCAAATTCTGAATTGATTTAAGCATGTTCATCTGGCTGTCCTTTCGCCTGTCTAATGTCTGTTGTAAACACCCTGGTTTCACAAATGAAGCTATTGACCTCAAATTTGGCAGAAACATTGGAGGGCCTTGCCGGCAGGTTGATACTAAAAACAAGTTAAATCGGTCGAAACACACGCCTATAGCGCTTCGTAAACTGAGGACACCGTTGTTTCTCAAAAGAAACAAAAAATTTTATTTTTCGCTCATTATTCATAAACTGCGGCAAATAAATCTATAAAAATTTGTACGTACACTCTATGGGTGATGCCACAGTACCTCTACGAAGATTGGCCATGCTTAATTTTTGTAGTGTATTCTACTCCTTAAGTTGTTTAATTTGATACTCATATTGCTGTGTCTACCATATTTATTTTAAAATTAGCCCCTTTTTAGTACCACGTTTATATCTGTATATATATATGAGAAGTAAACATTTCGTTTCAGTTCTCGCCCAACTGTTGAAATCGTCCTACGAAGCTGAAGAAGATTTAGTATTAGAATTAATAGGGAGGACTCTTGGAAAGCATGCCAACAAGTTTGCAATAAAAATTGACAAAAAATTTAAATATCGCAGCTTTGAGGTAAGGATTCGTTTAATGAATTAAGGAATCTTATGGTCGTGTAAAGCCGATTATTAAATGCCATACACCACTTCGCCTAATACTGCCTCTCATCTTGCGACGTGAAATGAAGCATATATGTTTGCTTTTCATGGGAACCCTTATCGAAAAAAGCGGATCGAGCAATATACCAGTGCAGTCCATATTTACCGCAACAAATTTTAATCCAATTTAAAAATTTAAATCTAACCGTTAATTTTAATTGTAAAATGCTGCAGTTTAGACTTTATTCGTAGTCCGTTTGACCACTTGATCTGCCGCATAAATATATTTCTAATAATTCCCTTCTTAATATATAATGATTAAGTTAAAATACACCATCCTACTGGATGTTGTGTACGCCCACACAAACTTAATAAAACCGCTAATGTATCATAAGTGGTGTAGGGTATAAAATGTGCGTTTGTTCTTTGTTGTATATCTAGCCGATATCTTTCCTTCTTTCATAGATTTTAAAAACCAACGAGAGCGTAATTTCAATTGCGGCATACGATGGCTTATCAGCAGCTAAAGGATTTCATTATTATTTAAAGCATTATATTGGCGAAGACGTTTATTGGTACAATAGATATATTGAGTTATCCGACAGCAAGGTGTTCCCTAATGTCTCAATCAATTCTACTTCGGAAAGCAGCATTATTTACTATCAGAACGTATGTACATGGGGTTACAGCTTTATTTGGTGGGATTTGGCCAAATGGATTCAGCATATCGATTGGATGGCAATGATGGGAATTAGCCTAACTATAGCGCCTATCCAAGAGCAGTTATGGTACGAAATCTATTCTGAATTAGGATTATCTGAAGAAGAAATAGATGATCATTTTACCGGACCGGCATTTCTACCCTGGTATACGGAGAAATTAGTGGACATAATGTGTCGTTGTTTTATTATAATTTTTTTTTTTTTTTTTTTACGCTACCAGGTTACGAATGGGTAATATTCGTGGTTGGGCAGGTCCACTCCCATCCGGCTTTAGAAAATGGCAAATGTTATTACAAAAACAGATAATAAAAAGACAGCGTGCTTTCGGCATGACAGTGGCAATTCCCGCTTTTGCAGGACATTTGCCCATTGCAATGAGGCGTCTATATCCGAATGTAAACTTTTCGATTACAGACCGTTGGAATAGGTTTCCAGATGAATATTGCTGCCCGCTCTATGTGGATCCGTGTGAAAATCTTTTTCAAAATATTTCCAGAAAATTTTTATTTAAAGCAATTACTGCTTATGGCACTGATCATATATATTTTACTGATCCATTTAATGAAGTAAAACCCCGTATGTTTACAAAGGATTACTTAAACATGACAGCATACTATATTTATGATTCTATGCGATCGGTTGATCCGAAAGCAATTTGGCTACTGCAGGATTGGATGTTTGTAAGTAATATATTTTGGAGCGATGACCTGATAAAGACATTCCTATTGGCTGTGCCAATAGGGAATTTACTTGTTTTGGACTTACAAAGTGAACAGTTTCCCCAGTACGAGCGTACACATTCATTTTACGGCCAACCTTTCATATGGTGTATGCTTCATAATTTTGGAGGCACATTGGGAATGCATGGCTCTGTGAATGCTGTTAACACCGGAATTCGTGAAGCGCGCCAAATGACTAATAGCAGCATGGTAGGAGTAGGGATAACTCCCGAAGGTATTGATCAAAACTACGTTATTTACTCTTTCGCCCTGGAACGGGGTTGGGTGAAAGATGATTTTGATACAAAGGAATGGTTTAATACTTACGCGAATGCACGTTATGGTATAAATAATTTGAATTTACATAATGCCTTGAATCTATTAAAAAACTCAGTGTATGCCTACAATGGATCAATAAAAATACACGGTAAATACGTTATAACTCGAAGACCATCAATAAATCTAAAACCGTGGACGTGGTTCAACTGTTCCGATGTTTATAAAGCATGGCAGCTTATGCTAGATTCAAATTTTTCGATACCTATTACCCATTACAGGGAATACGAATACGATCTGGTCGACATAACGAGACAATTCTTGCAAATTGTATCCGAGCAGTTGTACATAAACATAATAGCCGCGTATCGAAGACATCAAATAGAGAGATTCAACTATTTGGTCGACAAATTAATGGAACTTTTTGATAATTTAGAAGAAATTCTTGCGACAAATGTACATTTTTTGTTAGGCATATGGCTTGAAGATTCGAAAAAATGTGCCAAAGAAGAGTTAATGGAGCAAAAATTATTTGAGTTTAATGCTCGAAATCAAATAACAACTTGGGGTCCAAAGAGTGAGATCGGAGATTACGCGACGAAACAATGGTCGGGAATAGTGCAGGATTATTATAAGCCGCGATGGAAATATTTTTTATTGGAATTACATCAGAGCTTAGTCGATAATCAACCGTTTAATAGAAGTTCATTCGTAACAAATGTTTTTAATTATATTGAAAATCCCTTCAGCTATGATACGAAAGTGTATCCGGTGATGCCAACAAAAGAAGGTTCATATCTCGTTTCGAAACGCATTTTTAATACATGGACACAATTACGTTCTAATAAAATCTATTCATCGTATACGCGTCTAAAAGTAAAGATTAAAAATTAGATTAAATCATTGCATGGCGATGTCGATCCGTTTTCGCTTTTTCGCTTTTTCCACATTTTTTTATAGAAATCTGTTGTATACTTTATTTTGTATTTAATCTTGGATTACGGATATGAAGTTGTACAAAATGATTAAAATATATAAATGACAAAAATGTGTTAATATTTAATTCTAAGAGATTATTCGCATGTGATGGAAAGATCCTTTGTTGCCATGATCATCTTCTCCTTCAAATCCTCCGGGTTAACGAAATCCTGAAAAGAATTTATAGAAAGATAAGCCGTCATATATATATATATACATATATGTATATGTAATTAAAAGATTACAAAATTTTAAACTGAACTAAAACGTTAAAATTATTAGACACAAAAATTTTAAAGTTAAAGCGGAGTTAGAAAAAAAACAACCAAAAAACAAAAATCAATAATTAGAAGAAAACGATATACAAAAAAATATAGCTATTACATCGCGTTGCAAAACCTGGGATACTTGCAACAATCAAGACTTTTTCTTTTCTACTTAAATCTCGACAGAGACGATATTAGTCCTAAGCTGTCCGATAACCCTAGTGTTCGAAATTCCATTTATTTTTATTGAATGGCGCATAGAGGCGCACGAGATGGGCATAGAGAGTTTGTGGCAACATTTTAAACAATTTTTAACTTTTCGAAATAAAGAGTTAAATGAAGCGGCGCTTTTATATCGTAAGTACACAAACATTAAAAAATAAGTTGAAAGCGCAGAGCCAAGAATTTTGTTTTTACATTTGTGAAAATCATTTCTTAATAGATGCATATCCACGGCATGTATGTATCCTAACATGCTATTACCTAAAACTTGTTCAGTTGACAACTGACTCGATTTTTTGGGTAAATGGATCTTTTGTTATTTAAGCGGGAACGTATTTTTTTTTTTTTTTTTTTTGCATGAATAAAAGAAAGACAACGTTAATAAAATTTGGACATGCATTGACATGTCTTGACTTAAAGGTTATGAACGGTCACAGGTTAGATGGGTATGTCTCTTGTACAAATGACACTCTAATGACTCTCTCCTATTGCAAAGAATCGTGTAATTCTTTTTTTTTTTTTTAAACAAGGAGGTAAACATCAAATGGCAAATCTCTTTTGGATCTACTTTGATGATGGGAAGAATTCGAAAAATTGGCAAAAGTATGGACGGCCGCTTAGAATCTTTTGACGATTAGCGAAACATAGAAGATCGGGTGGCTAGAGCTGCTTTGATCGCAAAACGAAGACAGACGCACTATTCTTCCTATTTATAGTTATGAATGACAAAAAAAAAAAAAAAATTTGAAAATGCATTTTTGTGTTTTAATTACGAGTTCAAGAATGTCAATCTATTCGTATTAGTGTTTTTGTAGTGAAACGAAAATTTAAACCTTGCCTCGGCCTAATGCGTGAATAGTACAACTCTTCGGTACAACGGATTTTTATTTTATTTTTAATAAAATTTGAACATTTTTAGAGATTTCTAAAAAACGTTTCTTGCACAAGATAGATACGATCATGGGGAAATTCCTCCCATCTCCAACGTCCTGCTTGCGTTAATTTAGAGAAATCGCTTAATTGAATTTTGAATATTTGACATTTTCAATTAAACCGATTTACATTGATGAAAGCTACTGGCCATAAATCAAGCTTGAAACTAGACCAGATTCGCTACAAACACATTTAAAACTTATTTTCAAACAAAAAATTCTTCGCAAAAATATTCTAAACTCAAAGGCAATTCGAACTGAAACTATTGCAAAAATTTGCGAGAAATCTCTTAATAAACTGGGTACGTACGATTTAAGCCGAGTTGAATGTAAATAATAAAATTTGGACCTGGCGCCACAAAATATATTATATTGCCTTAAAGTGGAAGTATTCTATAGAATTTTCGGTACATGTCTGCATATCAGTAATGGAAATTCAAGGCGCCATTATTATTTTCATTTTATTTCATAATAATATACGGTCGGGGGGGTAGATTAAAAAGGTTTAAGACATTTTCGAACTCATTCTCATTCGCTATTAGTTATTACAATTTGATATAAAAGAAATATTAAATACTTTTGGGATTTAAAAGAAACGTAATAAACATAAATTTTTTAATCTTATTAAATTTAATTGAAAAAAAAAAATAAATAATTTTTAGCTCTGCTGAAAAGAGCAAAAAAGAGTTAAAGCAGGAACGAATGTTTTTTGATTTTACTTTAATGATGTTTTTTTTTTGTTTTTTTTTGTTTTTTTTTTTTACCACAAATCCGTGCACAGCGATGATTGATTGTTAAAATGGGTAATGGCTTAGACTTAGAAGCATTTAAATCAGATAAATATTGCAATTAAAAGTAGCACTATTTTGGGCTTACAGTACAGTTAATCGTTTTTGTTTAGCATGCAAATGGGGAAAAGAATCATTGCCACGTGGATAAACAATTGTTATTCGTTCTCTTTCTATGTTTTAAATGCGAAAGGAATCAATGTTTTTCCCAATTTAGTCGATTATTGAGTTAATTTTTTTTTTTTACTTTTTTTTTTTTTTTTTTTTTTTTATAGTCTTGCGCAACAAGTAGTTAAAAGTGTAGTCTAACGAGTATTCACCTTAGTTAAACTCGAATGTATATTGAGAGAATTAGCGTAAGACCATCGATCTTCTATGACATCTGGTCACTTGTTTCGATTGTCGTCTCGAAAGGATACGACAGTAAATTGGTCTTGGTTTCGTTTTCGGATTCAATATCAGTAGTAGTAGTAGTAGTAGTAGTTAAACAGGTTTCTTTGCTTCCAACAACAACAACCAACTTTTCCATCCTTTGTTCATTCGGATTTACTAAGTGTTCATTTGTCTCCTCTACTTCTTCGATTTCTTGTTTACTACTGCTTTCAAAAGTGATCTTTTCTACAGGCAATTCCGTTTGCGGTTGTCCAAACATCTCATCCGAAATGTTTAAGTCATTTTGACATAAACTGTTTTCATTCATAATTTGCATGGCTTTTTCAGCAATTTCATTAACGACCACTGCCGCCGTAATAGCCATATTGCTTTCGTCCACTTCGGTCGATGTGTTTATTGTCGGAGAAGATACATTGGTTTCGCTTGAAGAATTTGTCCTAATAATATCTTCTTGGCTTTCTTCTCCCGTAATTATTTGTTCTGTTTTAATCTCAGTTTGTTGATTAATGTTAGAAGCTTCCTCTAGCATTATCTCTAATATGTTGGTTATTACGGACGTTTCATGATTATTAACACATTCTTTAACTTGTTGTTCTGTTTCCGGTATATAGTCTGGATTATGCAGATTTTGTACCGAATCTTTTTCGGCATTAGAACATTCTTCTTCTTCCTGCAGTCTTCTATAATCATCTACCTTTATGACGGAAATTGGCGGGCTTGTGTCTTTATATTCATCTTGGAAACATGTTTCAGACTTTGCAGTTTCGGATATGTCGTAGTAGTTCGTTCTTAATTCAATTTCAGTCGTATTGTCGGCTTGGAAGACCGGTGAAGGAGGTGGGGATTTAGGAAGGGGAGGAGGCAAATTTTCATTATTTTCCTCAATTTGTTGTTGGGAACATTCCGTCCCTGTTGCAACTACTGCGATGATTTTTTCATCATAATCAGCGGACTGATTCCTGGTCTTTTCATCAAAATCTTGGATTTGTGTTTGGGGTACGGGAGATATGGAAGGGGAGGAGAACTTTTCTAAAGTGACAGCATGAGTCTTATCAGTTTTGGTGTTTACCTCAATTTGCGCCTTGGTCTGTTCAAGTTCAGATTCCCCATTCGTATCAATATTTTCGGTGTTTTCACCATTCAGAAAGGCGGTGGCAGTCGTAGTAGTAGTAGTCTCATTTGCAATCTCACCGGAAATGCTTTTATCATTTAAATTTTCATTGATTACTTCAAAGGCCGCCTCTTTACCATTCATTTCAATTGAGTCAGTTGGGCCGTTGACGTTATTTAAAGCCCCGTCTTGGCTTGAAAAAGTGACAACTACCTCGGCAGTCTCTTTGTTATCAAATGTTTCGGAAGTTATATTGATGGGTTTTTCAGTCTGTTCAAGTTCTACGGCAGTCTGTTTTTGAACATTAGTATTTATTTCAGTTTTAACAACGGTGGTGACTTTATTTTCCTCATCGGTTAATGATTCAGACAATTTCTCTTCACCTTGTTGTTCGCTTAAATCCTTATTAGTCGCATGGCAATTCTCATTTTGCTCCGCCGTTTGTTCATTAACAACTCCGGCAGCATTTGATAAATGATCCTCTTGTGATTCTTCAGGCTCCTGAATACATACATATATAAAAAATATTTCAAATAAATTATATAATTTTCTAATCTTACAAACACTTACTTTAGTATTTGGAACAGTTTTCTCTTCTGTACCATTATTTGCACAGGACATATCATCATCGTTTTTAGGTGGCTTTTGTTTATCCTTTTTGCCAAATGAGATGCTGCGGAAAGACCATTTCTTTTTTACTTTTTCCTTCTTATTCTTTTTCCCGTTTTCTTCACTAAGCGGGGAAATTTCTTCACCGGTGGCCGAGCTATCGTCCTTAGGCGTTTCAGCGGCCGGTGGAGGATCCACACTATCGCCACCTGCCAGCGAGTCCACTTTTTTTTCAGTTGTAATATCCTTATCATTCTCCAATTCTTCAGCATCCTTTTTCTTAATAAAATAAATAAATAAATAAATAAATAAATAATTTTCACATTTTCACTATATTTATATAGATGTATTTATATTCAAATCAGCTAAACAAAAATATTTATGTAGTTTGATGGTTTAGAAACAAGTCCAAAACTTAAAAAAAAAAAAATGAGCATTTTTTTAAACAACAATAAATCTAGTTTTGAATATCGCATTACATGGGACAGAATTTTAAAAAAAATTTTTAAATAAACCAATTAAAAATACGATGCCAGCGAAATTCAAAGCATTAAATATTATTTCAATTTTAAACAAATCAACGAAGCTATAAAGTCAATCTTGGATATCTGTTAACAAAACATTTTATTTGTTTACATTTTTTAAATAAACAATAGCGTGTGTAAGTTTACGATATAATTGACATTCGAGCGGTATTATATTCAACTGTGAACGATAAATAGATACGAACGTTGTCTAACTGATTGAGGAAGACATTTACATCCGGGCTTCCTTTTCATGCCACATATTTGTCCGTTTTTCTTGTTCTTTGTGTTTATTGAAATATTTTGGAATTTTTCATATTTATTAAGATTAATTAGGGTCGCTAAGGGGTTGGAAGGGCGGGCAGCCTCTACCTTTGTATGATCGTAAGATAGTATGGTGAAGTGCGCTTAATGCAGAAAGAGAAGTCGAAAAGGAAGTCGATGGGAATTGAGAACGACTTCAAAGAGTAGTCTAACCTTTATTCCTGACCTCATTCAGCAGTTGCTTTCTAAAAAAACATATATACATATATAAAGATTTTTTCAATGTGTATTGCGCTTTATGAGAAAACAATCTGATTACCTAAGCGATACGACGACTTTTTTCCGATATTATGGAATTATCTAGAAGTGACAGGCATTTTAAATGCCGATCTGTGGAAGTGGGCTAAAAAGCTTCTTATCTCATTATACGGCTTCAATCAATAAATGACGGACGGAAAATCGTTTGTACTCGAAAGTTTATCCATAGTAGTGGATGCCCTACAGGGGAGCCTTTCATTCGATTTTCAAGATTTTAAAAGCTTAAAGTAAAGAAAGTTAATAACCATTTCATGCTCTCTTCTTGAATCATAAAAAGAGAGACTATCTATCTGGAATCGGATGAATTGTGTGTTTATTTAAATGCATTACATATATGCAAACATTTTAGATACGCTTAGCGAAGAGTGAAGTGTGATTTAAATATAATACAAAATATACCTCTGAATTAACTTTTTCCTGGATAGCTGCATCTCCGTTCATCACTTTCTGATCAATATCTTCAATCTTTTCCATTTTTTCGGTAACCTCATCTTCACAAGCCTTCTTGCTATCGGTGGTGATATCTACTGAGCGTTTACTTTGAGTTTTTCCCATAGCTTTCTCTGTTCTGAAAAATGTTGAAGAAATAGATTTAACACAAAAAGATCAAATAATAAAAATGTTTGCGTAGACAAACAACAATGTAATGTTTAAAAATTGCAATTTAAACTTCACAATTATCTATTTATATACATATAAAAATTGTTCGTTGCGTTTGTTTGTTTTTTTTCTTTCTTCTTATTTTGTTGTTGTTGTTGTTGTTTTAGCCGGCGAATACACTGCGAAAAGTATTTTGACTTTTCTTTATTAATACGAATTTCAACAAACAATTTAAAAATCGAATCGAAAGACAATCGAACGACAATACGTATTCTGTCAGAAACTGATAATTTAGGTTGAATTGTTTGGGAATTCGAATAAGCATTCGAATGCGGTATTTTAGTGTGAAGTGAAGAATAGATTGTCTGCGGCAATGAACTCTACGCTAAAATACTTTCCTACATTTACTATGAAAGCAAGTAAGTAAAGCAGATTTATTATTCCGTTTGCAACGCCAAGCGAAGAAAGCAGCACCGAGTGTCCATTAACATTTTCTGATTGCTTCTTGTAAATCCGCCAAAAAAATTGGGATAAAAAGTGAAACTTGGTACACACAAACCATCATCCAGATGACTACAAATCAAGGCAATTAAGGGGCAAAGTTTTCGCGATAGCCTATAACCTATAGGCGACAAAGATCTGAAAATTAGTAAATATATTTGGGCGTGTTCCGTCTGCTTAAATAAAATACAATAAATTGATTAGTCTTAAGTGAATTGTTCACATTCGCACTTGTTTCCCTTAGGTTCGTGGGGAAAGAAATGAGGTTGGACCTGTCTTAACTTTTTTGGCGCTTTCTTACAAGAATTTTAACATTACTTATAATATTAATATTCAATAAAGGTGCCTTTGTGCTCTTGCAGATGCGGCATATTGCAATTTCACTAGGCAGCCCGTTAAGAAGTAAGCATCATTCATAATTCACTTCCCTAGGCTAACAATAAGTGATTTTTCTTCCTAAACTTCCCCATTTCCGTTTACAGATTTACTTAATTAGGAACCTGTCTGTAGTTAATGGCATTCTTTATCTCTTTATCGCTAACGATGGAGGGTATCAGAAATTCATTCATGACAACTGCAATCTTGTCTTGTTTTAAAGGCAATTTTTACTTTTTTTTTTTTACACTTTTAGCTGACATGATATACATTCAAGACGACGTTGACCGAATTCCCCATAACATCATTTGAACGAACAAAATCTATAAAAAAAAAAAAAATTACTTTTCTGCTTTAAACCAAAAAATTTCATTTTCATTAGATGGCACAATGCATATTGATTCGAATGATTTTTTAGCAAAGAGATGCTTTTCGATGCATATAGACATATGTATGTACATACATTTAAAATCGGTAATCAAATTTAAAGGATTTTAAAATGAGTTAATAATAATTTGCTTTTGCTTTCCCCCTTTCACTGTTCATATTAAATGTCAACATATATATATAACTCATTCTAAACTCAAAGTTCAAACTCAAAGAAGTTCATTTACAGGTAATTATCGTTTAACAAGGCACTTGCATAATAATTTCACTTTAACACGGTGTGAAACAAATTGTAGAAAGTAAGAAACTTATCGTTTTTCAATCAATCAATAGCTAATAATTTTCCCTACAATTAATTAAAGCTTTTAAATATATTTAGAAAATCATTTAATTATTTCGACCCGTTTACATGTTCATCGGATTAAGTCAATGATGAGATTTAATGAGAAAACAGCATAAGGAATAGTAGTCATTAAGAAATCGGAAAAAGTATTTATTCAATAATAAATAAAAATTGACGATAAAATAGACACTAGACAAACAAATTAAACAAATGTGAACTGAGCCCCGTTTTCCCGCTACTGGAGTATCTGCATTGGCAGATATTTCCATTTTCAAGGCGAAAGTATTCTCGTCTTTCTCCTCTTTCTTAAAAGACGCTGTAAATGCATTATGGTAAGCCAATCCTGAACTTTTAAATGGTTCGAAGAAAGTTAAAAGTCTTAGCACATTCTGAGCGTTGACAAAGGTGCATCATAATCGTTCTCGTATTGGGGTTTTAAGCAGTAAGTACTGCGTAGAACGGTAGGCTAACCTTTATTTATTAAGAGTTAGCTTCTGAGTGAATCATTACAATCATTAACTCTGCAAATCTGTAACGCCTATATTGGGCTTTTTATCAAAAGTTTCGTGGCTGTCAGAGGGCGGACGGAAGGAGCTAAAGTAACTAAGGTCGAAACCTTCTTTATAGACTAACACGCATAAGAACACCAGAAAAATGTCTTCAAATATATTTTTGCGTACATGTATATTATAGACGTTTGATAGCTTTTCTAGCACATTAATTCAACGATCCATAACAAGGCAGTCCATTACCGTAAAACACGCCCGCTGCTGTTTCAAACAAGCATAATCAGAAAAGTGCTTTCAAGTGATTGGGGATTCCAAGAAAAACACTAAATTATATGAAGACAAATGAATTCCATTGTACACTTATTAACTGAAGAGTAAGATATTAATTATATATATAGGCAATAATAATCACTTGCCTCTGCTACAAAAAGTCAATGGCATAGGAAAATTGAAAAATTTTAAGTATTTCTTTATGGAAAAATTATACCAAAAGAACTGTGAAGAAAATGGAAAGACTTGTAAGCGTTTCTCTGCTGATAACCTCCTCCCGAATGCGAAAACTTATCACAAAAAGTATATATAGCGCGTTATGCTGTGGTCTCCAAAGAGTATTCCTAGACGTTATAAAATGAATTATTGACTGTAACAAACAAGTAAGTAAGAAAGTCATAAACGCCTTATCAGCGAATCATTGTTACCCACCATCTTTTCATCCAATTAAATGTATTGTGTATCTGACAGCAGTAGCTTATATGTACATATAATTGACTTAGGCGTCGAAAATACACGTAAACATATAGGAGATTTTTATTATCACTTTTTAAAGTAAAGTAAAGAATGTTTCTTTAAAAATTTATGTGTAAGAAGAAAAATCATAAAAGATAATTTTTATGGAAAACTGTAAGACTTTGTTTGTATACATAAGATTGTCTTATTATCTCCTCTGATTGGAACGAGTGAAAAAGAATTAAATTCGTTCGGTGAATCTCGTGAACATATTAAAACTTTGCCATTCACCTTTAAACCGCACCTAAGTCCAATCACCGAAATCTCTCATTTCCATTAACACGTTTTTCCGCCGCCTTCTCTAATATTAGACGACTGAGATGGAATCAGGCAGGCAGCTGCTTTAGGCCAGCAATGTTTCGTGTTCAACTGCTTACCTCTGTAACTTTCCCTTCTCTTTGTTATTTGCGAAACTTGCCTTCAGCCTATTGTCTCAGTCGAATTCGGTTATGTAATTTCTACTAAAGAATATTTTTTTCTCTTTTATTAAAAACTTCAAGGAGTGGCTATAGCTTCCCGAACTAGTCATTGTCTGGCTTTCATCATGTACTGGGGAAATAAAGCAAAATTTGCTTCAGATTAATATTCAAAAATTGTATTTTTTTATTTTATAAATCCCTAAAACTCATAACTGACTCTATGGAACGGAGACACAATCAGCAAATCTAAGAATTTAATCGGTATCACAAATTTTAAGCGTACGCCCACTTGAAGCCCCTGCAACTTATGTTAAAATGTGGTTTGTTTAGTGAGTGGGCGCTAAAAGGCACTCCCTTTGAAATTTTTTTTACTTTTTTTTTTTTTTTTAAATGTCAATACATTTATGCCGCTATTTCGAAAACGAAAAATATTTCTTCAAATTAGTTAAATTGATGTAAATTATATTTGTTTTAATTTTCTTCTAAACATACAATATTTTCTTTGTTTTGGTAGTTTTTTCTTTTATTTTTTAACCGGTAATACTGATATAGATTTCAATATTCAAGTACTTCAGGAATTAGTCATAGAAATTAAATGTAAGGGATGCACTTATATGTGTATATATATATATATATATATATATAGATGGAGGTGTAATAAAAAGCGAAAACGGTAAACTTACTTCTAAATAGTGGAACGAGTATTAATGGTGCGAAAGAACAAAGAAACCAGGCGATAAATTGATGTACAATTTAACTTCAACTCAGTTAGTAAGCCACGCACGGAATATTGCAGCAATCGTCGCTGCAACTGCGGCAGGCACACCCAAACTCGAGCAATCAACAGGGATATGGGGAAAATACTAGCCGTACACACTCGTACACACACCCATATATATATATATATATATATGTATATATGTATATATACATTTATATATATGCATATGTACATATATACATATATATGTATCTGCATACGCACCCTTACTTTATTCATATCTAAAACCACTATCAATTCGCTTTTTAAAAATATATACTCTTACGAAAAAACAAAAGCAAAAAAAAAAAAAAACAAAAAAAAACCCTGTTTTTACTTCACTTATTAACATTTGCAAAATATTCTTTGTCTACACCTTACCGACATATTTCAATAGTAAGATGCTATAGATACACACTTTACATCCACATAAATTTTTTTACTGTTCATTGTAAATTTGAACTTTTTTTTATTCCATTTACCTGTTTAAAATGCTACAAGATTCTCGTGATAAGTTGAAAATAATATTTTTAATAAAAATAAGATCTATTATAGACAAATTATATCCGTTTTTCACACACACGACCTATGTTTAATTATCCCTTTTTTTCCACCTCACTCAACTTCCAACAACACTTCTTTCGATTCGAAACTAAAAATGTCTACTTGATTTGGTGATTTTAACTGAAATACACACTTCGCTTGAAGCGTAAGGGTTACCGTATCGTTTGACGAAATTTACTCCATTCGTTGCCAGTGTTGTAATTGCGTTTACATTTTTAAATTTTGTTCGATTATAATGTGCGTGTTGTGTATATATATATGTGTGTGTTGTAAAAAAAAATCAATTCTAACATGCAATGATTCCAACTCACCACTAACTAAAGCTGTTGTACAATTCAAAATATTGCTGTCTTCGTCTTTTCCATGCGAAATGGTATAGTTAAAAATGTGAAACGTTCTTTTTGCATGTGAAGCGTTAGTTAAAAACCTGAAATTCTAGTTCCTAGTTCGGCCGAAGAATTGACTATTGACTATTGCATCCTACACCAAGAATGTGAACAAGAACAAGCATCCTACACCAAGAATGAGAACAAGAAAAAGCATCCAACACCAAGAATGAGAACAAGAACAAGCATCCTACACCAAATAACTTTTTTCACATGCTTAGAGCGCTCAGGGGTGAGCAAAACGCTTCAACTGTATGTTATGTTCAATTAATAATTTTAAAAACACCATCAAATAAACATCAATGTGTTGCAATAACGCACTATTATTATTCATTACTTTATTTATTTTTAATTTAATTTATGCATGCTTTGCATATTCATCGCAATGCCAAGGTCAATATAACCTAATTTAAAGTTCAAGTTCTAGTTTTAACCTACTTTAGCTTATTCTACTTATTTTATTAGTCATCGCAATTCAAAGCTTGACTTAGTAAGGTCTAAGGTAAGTTTAGCTATTACTTCATTCTGTTGTAATCTTAGCTTTAATTTAATTTGGCCAATTATCTAGTTCAACTTATAACCTAATTTTAAGTAATTCAGTAATATGCTTATACAATAGCATAAGTTCATTTACGTTAAGCTACATAATAAGCAATTCTGATAATTAACAATCAATAAGCGACAATAAACGACCAACGCTCCTGTCGAAAATCAAATAACAAACTAACGCTTTGCAAACTATAGTGCATTTAAAAATTTCCATTACGTTTTACTACAGCGTTGCCCTTATATAAAGTTTCGTAACACCTAATCAACTACGAAATTCTCAGGGGGATCAAAGGTTAGCTAACGTTTTGTGTCGCTTCCACTTTTTTCTTACTAATTTGTGTCTACATATGTCGTTAAATACGTCGTTAACTTACTTTTAGTTCTCTTTTTGCTTTTCGTAATTTCTACGATACTTTCTACTTCCAACTAGATCTTTATTTATTTTTTACGAAAACGGCGCATTTGTATTTAGTTGTTTTGTAAGTAAGTTAGTATTTATAGAGATATATATGTTTAGATCATTCTGAGACGTCCGTGGAAATAAATATCCGGTTTTTTTTTTATATAGGCGTAATCTCATGAAGGTATATTTCCCTCATAATTATCACCTTTGAGCAATGCGCCCGCGTTGCTTATTCATTATGTAAAGTATTGTCATCGGCAATTGAAATTATGTGATAATAATGATAAGGTACCCAGTTAATGATTTGCTATGCTTTGACTTTGACTTCTCCATAACAATGAAAAATTGGAAAAACTCCTCACACGTTCTAGTACTTTATGCTGACTATCATGCGGAAAAAGCTAATTCAGACGTTCAGACACCTTTGAGGGAGCCCTGTGCTTGTTAATTATTATTACAGTTTTCCTCATTAGCTATATTGGCTGATGAGACTTTTTGCAGTCTACACGATAAACGTAATATAATTAAATGGCGAATTATGAATTTAAAAATTGAACTTAATGATCTGTTATTGTATTTATGATCCTAAAAAGTCGCATCGGTTTATTGGGAAATGAGCAGGCTGACCGAGCGGCAAAGGATGCTGCTTCTGCTCCTCTAATTATGGATGATGTCATGGAAAAGTTGGATCTTCAAGGATACATTGGAAGAAAAGTTAAAGAGAAAATTGCAGAAGAAAATTTACAATACCATCATCAGCACTACTCTTCCATTAACCCTCAACCCACCTTTATATCCAACTAATGTTGAGAAAATGAAGATTCAAACATTTGCGAGAATTCGCCTTGGTCATACAATTGCAACTCACCAATGGATCTTGAAGAAGTCTCCCTCCCCAATCTGCAGTTGTGGACAAACTCTCACCATAAAGCACATTCTCTGCGACTGCCTTAACTTTTGCTTGGCTAGAAGTATTGCATTTGGAACGATTAACCCTTTGGACATTCTACAATAAGCTTCAGAACAGAACATCAATTCAATATATTACTTTTTTAATACCACTAAGCTCATTATCTAATATCCATTTATTTAAATTAGAGCCGATAGCCTGCGTTGCTAGTGCTCCATGTCTTTTTTTTAGTCTAAGAATTTACTTCATTAGTCTAAAATTATAATTATAATAATAATAATAATAATAATGATCCCAAAAAAAGATTTTTTCAATCACTATTGCAATTACTTCTCTTACTTTTTTTTAATATCACAATAAGTAAAATGTAAACATAGAGTGGACAATCAAACAACCGTTATTTTACTTTTCACCATATTGCGGCAAGGACGAACAAGCAAGTACGTGAAAAAAACAACTCAAATTTTCTGGGTCGCGTATTTACATACTTGCTCTTATAAAGATAATGGTATGTTATTTTTAATGATTAACAGTTTTCTTTGATTATCGTGGGGCTTTGCACTATGAATTCTTTCCGCGGGGTGAAACTTTTGACGAGGGATATGATTTGCATTTAAGGATTACTTATAAGGAGACGAAATAGATTTGGAATAATTAATAGATTTAAAAAAGTAAAAAAAAAAATTGAATTGGTCTTACTTTTTGCACACAGTGAGATACGATAAGAACACTTCTTACCTACCATTAAACCGCTCGGAACTATGCATTCGCTTAAGAAATAAAACACCTTATTCATATTGCTATTTATTCTTGTTAATTTTTTATTTGTTGATTATTTTTACTATTGTTTACTCATTATTCATTATCTATTTCCCATTATTCATTATTTGCTATATATCATTTATTATACTATTTATTATTCACAAATTATTTTTTTTGTTGTTGCATTTTTCATTATTTATTGCTTTATTTTACTTACTTTTTTATGCATAGTTTATTATTATTAAAATTTATTTACGGTTTGTTTTTTGTTTGTATTTATTATTCATTCTTTATGATTCATTATTTATTATTCATAAATTTTCTCTTCTTGCATTTTTCATTATTTACTATAAATCTTTCATTTTTTAGTGCCCATAAATTATTATCTCCTTTTCATTATTTATTATATATTATCTATTGTTTACTTCTCATCATTAATTAGTCATTATAAACTATATATTATTTATTCTTCATTATTTATTTTTATTATTCGTTATTATTAATGTTTTTATTATTCCTTATTATTAATATTTCTTGTTGTGATTATTTTTTCATTCCATTATATACTACATTTTATTTTTTAGCACTTGTATTCGTTATTTATTTTCCGTTATTATTGCACCAGCTCAATATGACGCTGAACCCCGTCAGCAGGCTCCGCGCCGCAAAGACGAGCACAGTTTGGTGTTCCCCCGTCGCGGTACCTCGCGCATTCTCATATCCGCATCCATGTGACCGGTCCTCCGCTCGCGAATACACGGTTTGTCTGTTTGTGAACACGTCGTCGAATTGGATTTGGACAATTTCGTCTTGGAGAGTTAGGTTCCCCACGAGTTTTTTCAGCGTCTCCTTGCTGACGTCCATATTCTCCACCCACGCTGCGGCTTCTTCAGCATTTGTCGCTGTTTTCCGGAAGAGAGAATCAGCTCGGAGCCGCCGATGTTCTTTCATTTGCGCAGCCTGCGCAGACGTCGACGGGCCATCACAATCCTCGTCGATCATCTGCAAGCACTCCTGGACGCTTGGCGGTTTCTCGACGATTAGGGCGTATGGGGACGGGCCGACATAGTTCTCGTCGATTATCTCCATGCACTGCTGGACGAACTTTTCGAAGGTTGGCACAAGCTGACCACTTGACGTATCAGTCGTTTTAGTCGTAGCCGTATCTATTAATATCTCTTCGATTACTTTTTTATTTTGATCCATTACGACCGCTTCTTCGAAGGCCCCAAATCCCTTCTCCTGCTCAATTAATTTCGAAAGCGCCTTCACGGCCCGCCTATATCCAAGTTCTTCTGCATACCATAGGTATGCGTAGGAACGCATACGGGAGGACGATCCTTTTTCGAGCCGTTGCAGACGCCGCCTGACATCTTGTAAAGTGGCTTGCACCTTTTGTGCGGACACTGGACGCTGCAGCTCCACGCTTACTTTTCCTGCCAGTTCCTGGTACTGGCCTTTAATTGGGCCCCCCCGGTGACGCCACAACTTCGGATAATCCCGCAGTAGACGGCTAAGAACATCGTGTAACTCCTCATCGAAAATGGTGCTCATATTCGTTGGGTATTTTAGAAATCAGAAACCAGTTGCACTGAAATGGAAAGTCAAATATCAGATTAAAAGTATGCTTTATGCACCCTACCATATACAACGCCCATCTTCATGGTGGAATTTTTGTTCATCAAATATATTTCAAATACAACAATTAACATTTTTTCATTTTTTCTTATTCTTTCTATTTAAATTTTCAGTAGTTTTTCCCCTAAATGACATCTCTAAAAAAACCTTCTAAACCTTCTAAACATAAATAAATAGGAAAATACGCTACAATGGAACATGGCCCACTATTAAATACCCGACAAATCCGTTCGGTATAGACCCTCTCACCTCTTTCTCAGTATTGCATACACCCGCAATACGTCTAATTAGCTTAAAACTTAAAGCAATACATTTGAATCGGATCGCATATAACTACTGGAATTACATAAAATTTTTTTAATGTGGAGATATAAGCCATGTGTAATTGACTTAGTCCATGCTCACTTTCCATCAACAAATTGGCCTGGTTCAAAGTTATTCGAAAATTCCAATTCATTTACTGTATTCGATAT